CCCCTCCCCTCCCCTCCCTCCCTCCCTCCTCTCCCTCCCTCCACCCTCCCTCCCACTCGTCCCCTCCCCTCCCCTCCCCTCCCCTCCCCTCCCCCTCCCCTCCCCTCCCTCCCTTCCTCTCTCCCCTTCTCTCGCACATCTGACTCTCAGGGTCTCAGGTCCTACTCGACGAGTTCATCTCCACCGTGAGACTTGGTGAGGAGGAGGAGGAGGAGGTGACGGGATGCAGGTGACAAGAGAGAAAGAGGAGAACAGGAAGAGGATCCAAGAAGAGCAGGAGCGTCAAGCCAAGGCAGCGAGGATCAACGGTGAGAGAGTGCAAAAGGGGATGTGAAGTTTGCCAGAGATGAGGAGGAGAAGTATGAGGAGGAAGAGAAATGAAAGGGAGGAAGAGAAGGGACAGCAGCAGCAGCACCTGGAGGAGGAGAAGAATGAATGTGGTGCAGGAGTCCTCGATCCTCTCTTATCTTCGATGGCTTCCTTCAACGACATGAATGACTTCAACGCAAAAGTTTCAGATGTCTACTCGGTCATATCGTCTTTCTGCTCTCCATCCCTCCATCCATCGCTCCCTCTCTCTTCGACTCTTCATCATCACCTCGTCTCCTCTATGTCTCGCTTCTCTTCCTCTCTCCCTCTCCCCGTGTCTTCCTCATCTTTGCTTGTCTCGCAGCGACTGGACGCGGACAAGGGCGGGGGTCTGGATTTCAGCGAGTTGAAGAACGGGCTGTGAGACGAGGAGAGGAAGAGACTGACGGGACTGATCGAGAGAAAAGGAGGAAGCTGCCGCTGTCCTCTCCCATCCATCTCACTGAGAACGATTTCCAAACGTGAGATGCTAGAGCGGGGAAGCAGGGAGGAGAGGGAGGGAGATGGAGGAAGAAGACCTGAAGGAGAGAAGAGCAGGGAGGAGGAAGGGGAGGGAAGGAGGGGGGAGGAGGAGAAGGAGATTTGTTTCTTGTTGATCCATTGACAGGCTCACGTGTGACGGACTTTTGTGCCACGAGAATGGAGAATTTGACTCAAATCAGTTCCAATCCATGTGAGAGGAGGAGGAGGTGGTGGTTAGGGAGGAGGAGGAGGAGGAGAAGAAGAAGTTATGAATCTTCAGGATGTTTATCGAGCTCAAGAGGTATGCCATGCGTGAGATGTCAAACGCAATGACAGAAGCAGACAGCAAGCAGTAAGAACTTCACACCCCTTCAGTCCGATCTCCTCTGCTTCTTTCTTGTTCCTCCTCCCTCCTCCTCCTCCTCCTCCTCCTCTTCGCAGGTTCTGTTCGTGTCTCATCGCCTCATACAGGATTCGCGTCATCCTTCTCATCCTCAAGCTCCTCATCATTTCCATGGACAACCTCGAGTCCGCTGCTTCGCGCTCGAGCCTGAAGAATGCAGGCGGAGGAGCAGGAGCAGGAGGAGGAGCAGGAGGAGGAGGAGGAGGAGGAGCAGGAGGAGGAGGATTGAAATTGGATCAAGAGTGGATGAAGGGGATGGAGAGGATGATGCATAAGGTGAGAAAGGTCCAGCTGACATCGAGCTGACTTGCCTCCAGGTTGCGGAGAGTCTGAAGGAGATCAGCGGGGCTATGGTCGAGCTGAGGGAGAGCAGGCTTCATCATCCTCCTCCTCCTACCACTGCCAAACTTGATCCTCCTCCTCCTCCTCCTCCTACCACTGCCAAACTTGATCCTCCTCCTTCATCCTCTGCCGGCGAGTCTGAGTCTCAGAGCAACAAGGAAGCAGGAGGATCGAACAAGTCGATAGGAGCCTCGTTGCAGACCAGGAGACAGTCGATGCCGGCCTACGCCCTGCCTCCCTCCTCCGCATCCTTCATTCCTCCCTTATCCGCAGTCGCTGCCTCCACCTTCCGCCTGCCCTCCTCCTCCTCTTCGATCCCAGCCTCTTCTGCTCCCCCTGCTTCTGTTCCCGTCCTGTCTACCTCCCCTGCCCATCCCTCGGACCTCGCAGCACTTCAGCCTGTCCTGCGCAAACCGTCGATGAAGCGAACAGAGGTGAAGCAGAGGTGGTGATGCTGAGAAAGCGGAGGAAGAGGATGCGAGAGGAGAGAGATGAGTGGGACGAGGAGGACGAGGACGAAGACGAGGACGAGGAGGCAGTGGTTGAGGAGGAGGAGGCAGTGGTTGAGGAGGAGGAAATGGTGGTGGTGTAGGAGGACTGATAGGAATGCAGGAGAGGTTGTTAGAGCGGAGATCTCCTTTCTCCGCCAGGATCAAAGCTTCCATCGGGTATCTGAAGATCGAGGGTGAGGAGGAGCAGAAAGAATTCCCTGCTGCAGCTCCTGCGGCTGCCCCTACTGTTGTCAGAAGAGACTCAGGAAACATTCGTATGCTTGCGAGTTCTTCAAATTCTCGTCACGACTCGCTAGTCCTCACAGATCAAGGTACTCCACCTCTTCTCCCTCCTCCTCCCGTCGCCCTTCAACTCCCTACTCTTTCCTCCTGCTCCTTCTCCTGCTGCTGCCGCTCCTGACGATCAGCAGGTGTCCATCCCTGGAAGGAGAAAGTCGTCTCCACGAGAACTTTCGCTGACTATCGCAACTCCTTGCAGACATCACTGACGGACAGAGTCGGATGAAGAAGAGAGGAGGAGCGACAGAGAAGGAGAGAGTGATGAAGGGAGGGAGTGTATGTGATAGACACAGTAGTTGTAAATTTCATATCATCTCTTCTCTCTTGTGCTTGCCGACAGCTCTTGAGTCCGCACGAAGAGGAGGATCGACTCTCTCTGTGAGACGGTGAGAGCGAGGAGGAGGAGGAGGAGGAGGAGGAGGAGGAGGAGGAGGAGGAGGAGGAGGAGGAGGAGGAGGAGGAGGAGGAGGAGGAGGGAGACAAGACCTTGAGAGAGGAAGAGAGCATCTCCTTCAGGCCCTTAACCTCCTACGTGTACAACCTCAGTCTTCTCTTGTTGCAATGCGGGATAGTCACAATCATGTCGACAGTCACAGCATGTACAATGAAATTATCGATTGACAACATCATGAATGTCATCATGACATTACCCAGCGACAGCTCTGCCATGTCATCATAACAATCACACATGTTATCTTCACATAGATATCACACATGTCATGATTGCAATCACACATGTTAATCTTAGATCATAATCTCGATTGCATATTAAAAAATCATCAGCATCATTTTCGAATGACATCTCAGCGTGATGAAATCGAACCTTGTCTCTTTCTGTCAGCTTCACGTGCAGATCGTTCACTTGGCTCCTCCAGCAGCTCTGACGTCAAACGTTCATCTCTCTCCTCAGGTAGAACGAGATCAGAACCTCTAGAGCAGTCAAAACTCGCTCCAGGCCTCTTGTTGTCTGCTCCATCGCATTCACCCGCTTCTCCGCCATCGAGCTCCCTACGCCTTTAGCTCCACGACTCGCCTTGCGACACGTCAAGGCGGACTTGGAGGAAGACTTCCCTCACCTCCTTCCCCCCTCCCGCTTGTACGTCGCTTCCTCTTCCTCTAGCAGCCTCGCGCGGGTGCCTGGCAGCTGGTGAGTTTAGCATGATCGTGACAAGTAGACCGACTGGTTGCTCTTCTCCTCCATCATTCGCTTCAGTCTGTCTTGCGAGATCTTCGCCTGTGTCTTGAGCCGTTTGTTCTCCTTGTCGAGCGTTTCTACCTGCAGCCTCAGCCGCTTTATCGTCTCCTCTCGCTCAGCAAAGGCTTGAGGTGACTTGGCGCACGGGATGTGAGAGGCCATGAGGAGAGTTGAAGTCATACCAGACACTGAGACATCTGCAGCTTAGCTTGCAGCCTCACGTTCGATCTCTTCAGCCCTTCGACTTTCCTTCTTAGTTCCCCCACCTCATCCTCGCCTTCCACTTCTCCTCGATGAGGCTGCGAATGTTGGCTGGAGTGCCGCCGCGAGGAAGAGGGAGAGGAAGAGGGAGAGGGAGAGGGAGAAGAGTCAGAGGAAGCATCGGGAGGAGACGTTGGCATGGAGGAGGCGAGGAGGAGCGAAGACCGCGGATGGACAGAAGCGATGAACGAACGCAATGCGCCACTCTGACGCGCCGACCGCGACCGGAGAGGTTGGGACTTGACGGAGGGGGACCGGGAGGATCGGGCAGGAGGGCTCGCAGTCGGACAGGGAGAACACGAAGGGAGAAGAGGAGGAGGAGAGAAGGAGGGCGAGGGAGAGACAGATGGAGAGGAGGAGGAGGAGGAGGAGGAGGAGGAGGAGCGACAGTGAGCAGCCATGCCCCTAGCTACTACTAGTCAATTCTGTTTTTGAAACTGATTCTTTTCGTTTGAAAGTTCAAATTTCTCTCGAAAGTTTGAATATCTGAAGGGAGCATCACGAAAATTGTCACTCATCGGGCAAATGAATTCAGACGAGCTTCTTGTGGTGTTAGCTTGTGCGGCAAACGACAGGCCGAACAGGTATGGAGATGGAGAAGAGATCGGTGAATGAAAGGAGAGAGGAGCAGGAGGAGGCTCTGGAGGAGGAGACTCTGAAGGAGGAGGCACCTACTCTAAGAGCATGCATGCTACACGATAGAAAACGTTCTATAAGCGCAAGTAGTTGTGTGAGCGTATTGCACGTTGCGCTACCTCCAGGAGGGGGAAGGGCAGACAAGACAAGGGAGGGTCACTAGAACAAGTGTCGTATTTACACTAGAAGCACACCAGGAAGCAACTCCCTACAATCACACGAGGCTCCTCCTCCTCGTCAGCTCCATGACGTCTGTACTCGCGTCCCTCGCTCCGACTTGCTCAGACTCCGCAGGTCCCCCACAGATGCCACGTGCTTGGGGGACATTGACGTTGTCTTCTCCAGCCGCAGATGCGCGTCAGCCCAAGGGAACTTGTCTGCGTGCTCAGCCTCCTGCACCTTCATCCGGAGGAGGTCCGACATGTGCTTGGCCGTCATCCTCGTCCTCGGCTTCTCGCCCAGCAGTCGGAGGATGAGGAGGAACTCAAACTCATAGTCCTTCTGCAGGTCGAACAGCTCCTGCGGAAGCGCGATCTTGGCGATCGCCTCGCTGACGTTGGCGTCCTTCCACTCCCTCCGTCGCCTCGTCAAGGGACCAAACACGGAGTCCATGGGCATGGCAGCGAAGGCAGAGGCGGCAGGGGAGCACATCGAGCTCTTGAGCTTCTCTATCACTTTGATCCTCTCCATCCCCGTCTTGAAACTGTGAAGCATCTCGAACGTCACAATCCCCAGCGCGTACATGTCCACCATCTCGTTGTAGATCCCGCTGTGCTCCAGCTCAGGACTGAAGTACATCCTCGTCCCGCAGGCTCTGGTCAGCTCCTCGCCCCCCGCACCTTCCTCGTCCTCGTGCACAATCCCGAGCGAGGATTCAGCGGCAATGTCGACCAGGTCTGAGTTGGTCTTGCAGCTCAGCCCGAAGTCGCCGAGTTTCGCCACATTGTTGACGATGAAGATGTTGTCAGGCTTGATGTCCCGATGGATGTACTGCAGCGAGTGAATGTGCGTGAGCCCTTCCGTCACATCCCTCAGGTACCTCCGCACCACCTCCAGGTTCACCTCCCACCTCTCCGAGTTGAGCAGCTGCCGCAACGAAGTGTTGCACAGCTCCATCTGGATGTAGAGCCAGTTCACGGGCTCCTCGCAGCAAGACATCTTGGTCATATCCGATTCTTCTCCAAACAGATTGGAAGACGCGTCCCACGTCGTGTCAGCCAACGACCCGCTGTCGCCGAGCGACTTGTCCTTGGGGCTCGGCATCTCCGTCTCCTGCCACGTCCCGTAGTAACGCACGATCTTGGGGTGGTCGCTCAAGATGGAGAAGCAACGAACTTCTCGCATGATCCGCTGGTTATCTGCGCTCTTCTCGTCCTTGTCCAGTCGGATCTTCTTCACCGCGTACTCTCGCTCGTCCAGGCGCTGCCTCACACGGAATACGCATCCAAACGCTCCTCTGCCGATCTTGCCAAGCTCCTCGAAGTCGGTGGTGTATCGAGACTCCTGGTTCTGCCGAAAGAAACCTGGGCTTGCAGGAGGAATCTTCGGGCTGTTGGGAGCACTGGCCGTCTTGGTCGCCTTGGAGTACTCGGACCTCATCACTTCATCAAGATCCTTCTGCACACTCCACTTCGAGCCCAGGCTGATGCTTCGCTGCCTCCTATCGTCATCGTCCCAGCTGTTGTTTCTAAGCCTCGACTCGTCCCAAGAGCTGTCTTCGTCGGAGGTTTCTCTTGACAGATCTCTCACTCTAGCCTTGCCTGACACTCGCTCATCGTCGATGTCCTGGCAAAGACTCTCGAACGTACTTGCGCAGCCATACCGCAGCATGTCCCCTCCTAACGTGGGGATGAAAAGCTTAGGCTTGTGCGAAGGGTTGCTCGCAGCTGCCTTAGTGGATGCTGCTGAGATCTTGGACTGAGTCGCCTTGGCGGACTGGCTTGAGGAAGTGCGAACCACGTCCGCGCTGGAGTTGAAGGGCTCGGAGTCGAAATCCTCCTCCTCCTCCTCTGAGCTGTCCTGGTTACTCATGGACTTCAATGCAGCGGAGGCATCGCTCTCGGTCTCGGCCGCAGGAAAATCCCCGACAGTGGTGGCCTTGGAAAGAGCATTCTCTCCTCCCCCATTGAGCGGAACCTCGTCGAGAGGACACATGTCACGGAGGTCGCTGTTGGAAACATCCGATTCTCTAGGATACGGGGACCGATCGAAGACGTTTCTCAACACCCATCCGAGCCACACGAGGCCAACGGCAGCAATGAAGATTGAGAATTCAGAATAGCCCAGGCGTCGCGGGCTCGCCAAGAAAACAGATTCAGACCCGGACAGAATGCCTTGAGCTCCAAATCTGGGATCCAAACGCTCATCCCATTTCGTTTCGACATCTTGTGGCGGACGGTCAATCCGCTTCATTCCATAGTTCAGCATCTCACGAACGTCTTCTCGCACTGCATATGAACCCACAAGGCATTGCGGATAGTCCTTGGAGCCTTTCCTGCAAGGATTGGCTGCAGGTTCAGACAGATCGCTGCTCATCCGCACAAGAGCTCCAGTGACAAATATCCCTTGCTCGTTCTTTTCAGCGAGAGAATCCTGCAACGAGATGACTTCACTTCCTCTTGCTGGATCGGATGGCATCAAACCACCAACCCTTGGCGGCTCGAGACCGTAGCGATCTTTCGCTGTATTTTCAACACTCTCTGCAACAAGGAGTGGAATCATCGGTGGAGGAGTCACTCTTGCAAACAGCGCTCCTCCATGCCTTCCTACTTTCAACCCTCCTGGGCTTCTCATCAGGACGTCCTCGTCCGCGTAAAGAGGCAACTCCAATGCATGCTGCATCTCCCATACATGCGCACAGATCGCAGTAGAAGGGAGGCTGTAAATCCAAAGGAGTTCTCCTGACCGCGAGTCATAACACTGAATTTCTTTTCCACCCACTCTGCTGCCACTGACGAGCACAGGAAGTTGAACACCTGCAACGACACGAAGTGTCCGTTACAGTCCTCACGCACAGATAGCAGATGCTCTCACCTTTGAAGTGATCATGCTTCGAATGTGGACCGTGGGCTCGAAATTCGGCGATAGAAACATTCCAACTATGCGCACCAGTCTTAGCGTTTCTGACCTTCAAGCTGTATTCAGATCGAGTTATTATCAGTGTGTCTGCATCGGGGTTTGCGCTATTGCATTGCTCATCCTCCACTTTGTCGAAATGCGTCCATGAGGTCTGACCTGTCTCAGGATCTATAGCATACAACTTGGTGCTCTTGCTGCCAACCACCACCACACCGTTGTCAACAAACGGAGACTGATCGACTATTTCATTTGCACGCAACCCGAAGGGCTCCATCACGCCATTCGACACTGTGAGCAAGCCACCTCCCGGTGCATAGAGCGGGATGATGTCAAAGTCAGACTCTTCTTCCTGCTGAAACTTCCAATTTGCGTCCATAGGATTCTGATGGAACAACTCCGACCCATACGTTTTGTTCTCCGACGAACTGGCATCCTCCCCTTCACTTGAGACGGTTTCTTTTCCTCCAGCAGCACCTTGGTTCCCGACTGCCTCTGATTCTCCGTCTGTATTCGCATTATCCTGATATCCAAAGCTCGGAGATGCTCGTGCAACTGCTTCCCCCGATGACTTGGTCCACCTCAATGCTCCTGTAGAGGCATCAAGAGCAAAAATTCCTCCATCAATCGTGTTCAGAATCACCACAGCCCTGCAACTATAGTCAAGACTATTGCATCAAAGTACAAAGCAAGCTCATGTACGTGTCATGCAGCGGTCGAGGGCCCATGAAAGACAAGGAGTCCTTGCTTTCGCTTCTGGCATGCTGCAAATCCAGTGACTCCGAAGGAATCAAGTTTGCGACAACAGCGACAAGCGAAACGAGAAGAAAGGCAACAGAGGTCCCTTTGAGAAGCATTGAGAACTGTTTCACCACGACAAGATGCAGCAGCTTGACTTGCCAGAAATGTTCCTCGACCTCATCTCCTGTCCCCTGACCCCAACAACCCAACAAAAGATCAACCAGAACCTCCGAAGCACAAAACAGTAATTCAGCTGTCCAACTCACTGCCTGACCGAGTCGTCAAGTCAGATACGGGTGAGACAAAAAAACATGACTGGAAGCTGCGGGGCACTCGGTGCAGGTTCCTCAGCCTTGAACCACAAGAAGCCTGCAGACAACAAGACAATGAGCAAGGGTTGTAGCTGACAACAATCAATCCAAGCTAGATTACTAGTTATCAACCTTATCATCGTTCCAACCTCCCATCCCATACCTAAATTTCCTTCCTGCTCCTCTCTGTTTCAAAGTGGGAGACAAGGAAACTGCAAATCCTCTGACCGTATTCCCTTCCTCTTGCACTTGCACCTCCTTCCTCCTCCCTTCGCTCCAATTCACCTCATCGTTTCTTGCTCTCTCTCTTCTTGCTTTCTCTTCTTGTAACTATCATTTGCTTGTCTGAGTTTTTCTCTGTGAGTTTTTTTTCACTTTTTTCTTCTTTTTTCCCCTCTGCTAACGAAACTTCGCCCGACAGCCCCCACCCCCTTATTCCACCCCCACCCCCTATTCCTTCGATATTCACCACCCTTGCTTCGTACACCCACCCCTGTAGTACCCCCTTACCCACTACCCACCTATTGTCTGCAATAGACTATGATTCGCACCCCTTACCCCCGATGGTAATCAACAAATTTCAATTCACCCCCCAAATACCCTTCCTCTACCCCACCCCAAGAGCTCTGCGACTCCACAAACCTACAGCATCACCCACCCCGTTTGACTCTCTTGGGCTTTAACCCCAACCACCACCACCCTACCCTTGGCCTCTCCACAACCCTACCCCCTTCCAAGGTAACACTTCTTCAGGTCTCCCTACCCTACCCTGCTTGTAGCTATCATAAGAACCCCAACCAAGACCCACTACCCACCCCATTTTCATCTATAATATACCTGCTCGGGTCTCTACCCCTCCATTGAGCTGGCAATTGAGGATGAAACGAGAAACTACCGGGTACTTGACCAATAGTTTGATCTAGATGTACCGGTACACTTAGAGGTGTTCGAGTACCACCCCCCTTCATCTCTCTCGCGGTATGTCTACCCTCACATCTTCAAGCCCTACCCTACAGAAGGAAACATAGAGTTATAAACCAGAGAATGGGGTGGGGGGGAATTCAAAGGGGTAATCAGTGGTGGGTGGACAAGTAGAACTATGAAAAGGTGGGGTACTGAAAGCGTATTCTGGGGGTGATTCTTTCAAATGAGGGTAGTGGCAATCTTTGGAGGGGTTCCTGCACGGGGGCCTATAGAAAGATTGGATCACGGGTCCTAAGGAGGTAAGAAAGAGTGGTGGTAGAAGACAGGGTGGTCGACCATGTCTTTGCAGAGGAAAAGACCACCCTCACAGCTAGGCGGGACAGTCTTTGAGGGGGTCATAGTTGAAGGGGGTGGGTGTTTAGCAAATGAGCATGAGATATGGGGGTTCTTAAATTGTCCTGACCTTTTTCAAAGGGCTCAGAGGGGTCCATTTGTCTGATATTACACCGGTAGTCCTTGATGCAGTAGGTAGGGGGTATGAGATTTGGAAAAATATAGGGTGAATTGAAACACTTTGGTCCATGCAAGGGGTTATAGGGTGAATCCATCTCACAGGCAGGTAGGTTGTGATATATAATTGCTTGTAATCGACGTGTCCAGCAAGCTGAAAGCGTACCGAGTTTCAAAAATGTATTTTTGAGTCGTATGAAAATTTACTATAAAAAAATTGTACAAAAGTTTTTCAATAGTTTTAAACGTGAGTGGTACAGCTTGTTGTAGGGACATCTGTTGCAGCCTATAACAGATGTTTTACCCAGACTAGCACTGGCATGCTAGTCGAACAGTCTCAGCGCGTCGGAACTTCGGAAGCCTCGGAGCCTGTCGTCGGACTGGCCGGGTACGGTAGTACAGGCACCCGCGGCGCTGCCGGTGACTCTTGACACTCAGGCTGTCGCACTGGCCAAACTTGAAACGGAGACTCAGAAGAGCCTGTGACAAGACACTGCTAGTCACCGTGCCGTAGTGTGACTCGGCGCCGGGACTCAGGGCCCGGCCGGGTCGCCCGGTGCGGTGCCACTGGGCCACGCGGCCCCAGTGGGTCGGGACTCGGGCGTGACTCGGCGGCGCCGCCCGGGCCGCGGCAGCCGCGCCCGGCTGGTGACTGGCAGGCTCAGTCCGACTTAAACCGCCGAGGTCAAGACTGGCCGAGCGACGCCCGGCTGCCACTAATGATGATGATCAAGTTAACACTGAGTTCAGTGAAGTGTTTTTAATAATTTTTTGACGTACTGTCATTGCCAGGAATCCAAAACTAGTGAAACGTGAAGACTCTCAATTCTTCAAGTCAGATGGGGTGAAAGCCATTGCCGCGCGCAGTTGCAAGTTGTACTCTACTGGGGCCTACAATCATTCAGCCCTCCAGTTTCCTCGTGTTGCACACTCTGCCTTTGAAATGCAGTAGAAGAAAGAAGTGCAGGTATTGGAGCATAACCACCAACCTTCCGTTGCAAGGAATGATCCAAGGCTAAACTTCTATGGACATCAATCACCATCGCTTTCACCCAAGCAGCAAGAAATATGCTAAGGTGTTGCATGATTGTAGTCCACAGAGGCAACCAAAGGGCAGAAACGTGTCGTCTACCGTATCTGACTTCACTTCGACCAGACGAGGCGCAGCAAGCCGCCGATTGTCGGCAGGAGTCCAACAGACAGGAAGTACATAACAGAAACAGCAACGAGGCCAAATCCAAAGAAATTCGCCAGAACCTGAAACATGGAGATACTCTTGTACTTGTAGACTTCGCCAGGGAAATGACCGTGCTGCTTGAAGTGAGTGAGAAGCTTGTCCTTCTCCTCAAACACCTTCATCATCCAATCTTGCACTGCTTCAGTCTCCTCCGGGATCTCCTTCACAGGAATCACACGGACATGCACATGCACATGCCATTTCTTCCCCCCACCAAACAGCAGATCCTGAACAGAAGGACGGATCTTTCCCTTCTGCACTCTCTTGTCGTCCTCGAGTTGCGGGTATCCAATGGTGAGGTCTACGACTCCGTCCACATCCTCTCGCAGAGTGTTGAGAGTGATTTGAAACCCTTTGATCCTGGGCACGAGGACATTCTGAAATACTGTCAGATTCTTCTCTTTCGCGTATTCCTGTGACTCTTTCAGCTTCTGCGGACGAAGTCGGGTGCCCTCTGGGAAGATAACAATCCAAAACGAGCCAGATTTGTGTTGCTTCGACTTCTCCGCAAGGGCTTTGAGCTGCTTTATAATATTTGCCTTGTCCTTGTCAAATTTTCTCTCAAGAAACACAAAGTTCAGAAACTTCCAGAACCATCCCATGACAGGTAGATAGATCCCGAGAGATTTCTTGGCGAATGCCCGTATCTTTCCAACGTCTCCCGAAAGGATACCAACAGCAAAGATTAAGAAAGAATCGGTGAAGGATGCATGGTTCGATATGAGAACTTTGCTTCCACGATAATTTTTCAGAAGATTATCTACCTCTCCAGTGAAGATCGGGGTGAGTCCACCGATCCTATGTCCCCAATACACCAGCGTCAACCAGGCAGGTTCTGCAAGGTAACTGAGCAGGAGCTGGTGCAATTTCGGAAAAGCGACCGAGATGAACAAGAGGGAAAGAACTGGCACTATGTTGCAGTTCACAAACATGAAGACGAAGCTGAGCACGAAGTATATCACGCCCGTGACGAGGTAAAGAGCCTTCATCAGCTTGCTCTGCTTGTTGGCTGGCATCCCTTGGAACAAGTTGAAAGCGAAGGGAGAAAGTACAGGCAATGGAAAGAAGACAAGAGGAAGGGAAGAGCGGACGAGAGCTGAGGGAGAAGAGATAAGATAAGAATCCACAAGGTTTGCACGCAGGGCACTATCTACTACAACAGAGGCTGCATGGCAAGGATCTTGCGCAGAGTCAATGTAGGGGGGTAGGGCGTGATCGAGTATCTAGTGTACCCCTCCTCAGACCCTCCCTCGAAGGGGTTTCAGATGAATCATCACGACAAATGGGGGTAGTGAGGTCATCGCCCACCCCAACGTTGCGCTTTGAAAGTGAGGGTAGTCTGCCAGACCCTCTGGTCTTAGGAAAGCTATGCAGTAGCTTGTAGGCGTATGTCCTATCTCTGGTATAACCTACGAGTCACATATAAAGGGGGAGAACCAGTTGTAACGTTTTTGTAACGGACTGATCTGTTCAACCGTCGGGCCGTCGGTCGCCGGGGCAGGCGAGATCGGAAGCGACGGGCATGGACGGGGGAGGCAGTCGGAGCAGCTGAAGCCCCAGCGCGGGATCATGGTACGGTAGCCCAGCTCACTCAGCCGTCTACGTCGGACAGGGGACCGTACTCGCAGTGCGGCTCAATCAGAGTCACTAACTACTCGGCGGGCGGCGGTCGGATGCGAGGGAGGGGGTTGCTGGTTTTGTGCTGCTCTTGCATTGTACAGGCTCATGGACGCAGTTCCCGGCATGTCTGGATGATTCATGCTCGCTGCTCTATCAGAACTCAGACCCTGTGGTCAACCAGCTGTTCTCAGACCTTGAGAAAGCTCTCATCAAACCCATCTTCGTTGACATCCAGCAAGGCAGTGACACTGAGGGAACCGGGGAGGCTATCTCTCCCTACAAGAGCTTCCGATATGCCCTGAGGAGGTGGCTGAAACCAGGAAGATGTGCCCCTTACTGCGGAGACTCGTCACTGAAAACCTCGGCTGTGATTTTTGTACGAGCAGGACAATATTCTGGAGGTATGAACGAGAACATTGAGCTCTTTCTCCCTCGAGATGTTTCGCTCGTAATCATCAAAGACCCGAGGTTCCCTTGCGCAGAACAACCTCCAGACTGGGCATGCAACTTCCCCGTGTCCGTGAATCTTGCGCCATGGTCATACTGGATCAAAGTTGAAGGAGGAGGCTTCTTCTCAGTGAGCAATGTTGCCTTGCGTAATTCGAGCTCAGACGCGATCGTTGTTCAAGGAAAAGTTTCTCAAGTTTACAACATTTACATGTATCATGGCATCTTCGGCTCTGTAGAACAAGTCGACACCAACGGAACCATCTCCTTCGTCCCCAACTGGGATGTCGAGGAGGACTTGAGGATGCAAGGAAGAGCTGTGAACTGCTCTGCTCAAGGCTGTTACCCGGGTAGCATCCTGCCAGCCTGGCATGAGAACCCGCCGGAGCTTCTTCCTCTTTCAGACGCCTCCTATCAGACCTGGACGCTGCCGGCATCGAACATCTTTCCCGGTGAGTTCTACGGGCTGAGCGTCTATGTCGTGAGTACGGGGTCGGGCTGCATCAACGGAGGAGAGCTAGTAGCGAAACATGAGGTAGCAGGCGGGCAAGGAAGCGGCTTCAGCGCCAGGTTTGCCATCGTGAACGGGTCTTTGAGCGGCTTGGAGTTGGTGGACACGGGTAGCGGCTACACGAGCGTATCGAATCTCAGCATAGTGATCGCAAGGGGAGGAGAAGGATGCGTCAATGTCTCATTCCAACCATTTCTGGTGCCGGACGCGTACCCATACTGGTGATGCCATGCTCCGAAGATGAGTTGTTCCTCCAGAATGAAGCGTCACCATGATCGGCAACACTATCAACAGCTGGCAGCACAATGGAGCATGCCAATCCCACCATCACCAGAGCAGAAGTTAAAAGGATGAAATAACAATGGTTTATCACAAACATAATTCGACTAGCATACCTCAGATCATGATACGAATACCTAAAGATTTAGAGATCTCTTGTATCCTCTGTGGTCTCTCATTTTCGAACTTTCAGATGGTTTTGCTAAAGCATCCTCACATCCTCACACCCGTCAATCCGATCTTCATCCGTAACCATCACTATTTCATCAGCTTTGAAATCAAAATCTCTTATTTTCAAATTTCTATCAAGATTGTCTGCTTGCTTTCAGTCAATTCAAATCTTGGTAAAGGTTCTGCAATTCACATGTCACCTCCCATATACCCCTATAATCTTTTTGTGCTCCTCTCATCTCTCTTCAGGGCTACTATGCTGGGTCTGCTCTGCTCTGCTCTGCTCTGCTCTCTCCTGCTGTGCTGTGCTGTGCTGTGCTGTGCTGTGCTGTGCTGTGCTGTGCTGTGCTGTGCTGGGTCTGCTCTGCTCTGCTATGCTCTGCTCTCCTCTCTCCTGCTCTGCTCTGCTCTGCTCTCCTCTCCTCTCCTCTCCTCTCCTGCTCTGCTCTCCTCGATTCTCAAACCCTCTTCCACTCTTTCCGTCTCCCCGACATTCTGCCCCCAAGTTTTTCCACCCGGCAACATCTTTGGCCTGGTGATAAGTTGCAAGAAGGTTTTATGTTGATTTCTTGGGGTGGGGGTTAGGAAAAAGTTTTTGTGTATTCACAAAGGGTGGGTACTTTGAAGGGAAATGCAGAGGTAGGGGTTTAGAAACCTTTTATCTCACAGAGGGTGGGACAAGTCCAGTTACTATCTGTCTTGGGGGCAAGGACCCTACCACCCATATCGTCACAGTACCCACCCCTACTTATAAGGAAAATCAATGGAATCCCCACCCCAACATTTGAGTACCCCACCCGTATGCAAACAACCCTTTTCGACCTTTCACATTGCAATGCCGATGGGAAACTTATCATCCGCCCTCACTTTCCATCCCCGCCCTCAATCACTCTCTGCCCCCTGACCCTCCTTGCTCCCTGACCCTCCTCCTTGCTCCCTGACCCTCCTCCTTGCTCCCTGACCCTCCTTGCTCCCTGACCCTCCTCCTTGCTCCCTGACCCTCCTTGCTCCCTGGCCCTCCTCCTTACTCCCTGACCCTCCTCCTTGCCCGCTGACCCTCCTTGCTCCCTGACCCTCCTCCTTGCTCCCTGACCCTCCTCCTTGCTCCCTGACCCTCCTTACTCCCTGACCCTCCTTGCTCCCTGACCCTCCTCCTTGCTCCCTGACCCTCCTCCTTGCTCCCTGACCCTCCTCCTTGCTCCCTGACCCTCCTCCTTACTCTCTGACCCTCCTCCTTACTCCCTGACCCTCCTCCTTACTCCCCACTCGATCTTCTCTTGCTTCACTTACTCTTGATGCCTTGCCTTTCCCTCCGTCCGCCTGCTTCTTTTCTGAGCCCCCACCTACTGGGATCCCTCTTCTTTTCCCTCGTCCTCGTTTCATCCTGGTTATCCTTGTTTCTACAAGCTCGTTCCCTCTTCTGTCACCTTGCCTTTATCTCACCCCATCTCTGGCTAATCACCGTAGAGCATCATTTGATATCATCACATATCCCACGAGTGAGGCACGAGAGAGCTCTGGGTAGAATGTTCTAGTTATCACTTGTGAATGATTGTCACAACGATAGTGTGATGTTCCCTTGTTCTTGCTGTAGCCGTCTGCTTGGGTTCGATCACTGGCTCTGATCTCATCACCAGCTGCAGTATCAGTGTGCGGCTACGTAGGAGCCATCGCCTACCCGCATCATGTTCAACGCCCGGTCGCAGCTCGTTCCCGGCTGGTCAGCAGCGCAAGGAGGGCTCGGGGCCTCCAACGAGCATCGGGATGTGATGTCGCAGCAGTACCTGCGGCGTCGCTGCGGTGAGCATGAGGGTCGGAGTGGCACACGACTGACTTGCACAGTCATGAACCCGGAGGGAGGCCCTCAAGATGCTGCAGCTACTGACACTCACCGTCGGCGAGCCAGCGCGGCCCTTGCTCAAGTCGATGTAACCATGTCATGCTCTTGCGATGCTTGATCTCACCCTTCACGGCTCGCAGGAAATGAGAAGGATCGAGTATCATCGCAAGAAGGCGAAAGCAGAAATTGATGATCGAATCGAGAAGATCGAGTAAATGGACGGGTGTTCTCAAATTCCTTGAAAGATTGAATGTATTGCAGGTTGGGAAATCAAATTAACGCAAACTTAGGTAATCTGTTTGCTTTGCTTTGTCTCCTTCGAATGATATGATGCGTGATAGGATGGCCTTTCAATCAGAACTTGGTACCACAAAAGAAAGAACAAGCTCAAACCAGTACAGACAATCCCGAACAATCGAAGGTTGAGATGGTGGAGAGGTAGCTTGAGTGACTTGAGCCTTCATTCAGTTCATACTCTTCACACTCACCCACAGGTTGCTGGGGAAGAAGAAACCCGGAGACACGGAAGTAGAATGGTTGTGCATTGTGTCGAGTCTTGTTTGCGCTGATCTGCAGTAGGGATCGCACGATCTTCGGCACTATGAAGCTGCAAGAGGGGGAGGGAGCACATCAGAAACCCATCCTCGGTCCTGTCGTGTGGGAGGAAGGATACCTGCAAGCCCAAGGGCCATCAGTGCAATTCACAGTCAACTACGAAGAAGATGACGGCATGAACGAGGAGTTTCAAACAAACTTGAAGGCGACAGTGTTTGATTCAGCTAGAACATGCTTGAATTCTCATGGAAAGGACTCAAATGGGTTGAAAGAGGACGACATCACCGTGTCTTTGAAGAATTCTGCCAATGCGTATCAGATCCGTATTTTTGTTCAAGACAAAGTAGATGATTGCTATTGGAGACACTCATTGATTGAATGTATCAATGTCTCAGGTGGAAGGAGACATCATCATACATGAACAGATCTTCTCTGAAACTAAGCTGCAAGGAATTCTGAAGAAGAAACTGAGCGTGACTAGCCTGCCAAAGTCTCTTGGTGTCTGTTGAAGTTACAACGATGACCTTCACAACAGGTTCTACTCCGGGGGCCTCGTGTGGACAGGACCAGAAGAGAATCCTACCTTGTTGGATCAGCTGATTTGGAAGCCAATGTCCTCTATAGCACCTGTACGTCGCTTGTTGTGCGGGCAGAGGGCGTGCGGACTGATGGGTGCAGGTCATCATCGAGGCGACAGGATCGAAAGAGTTTGTTGAAGTAGCTGACACACGCGGAAGAGTTCAAGTTCTGACATGAGCTCCAGCATATCTCGAAAGGGAAGAAGATGTCTTCAGTTCCCGAGAAGACGATACAGGGGAGAGAAGTCGAGTGAGATGCTGCTTGTGCTCGCACTTAAAGCGGTTGACAAGGCTTGCAGAGTGAGAGACATAGTGAAGGGTGGATATTCCAAGATCAAATTCCCAGATGGGGGACGATTTCTTACAGATGTATTGCTTCACTAACTGTTGTACAGTAGACTCAGCTGAGTTTCCAGGTCAAAGTACAAGCGACTTTAACGGGCTCGACACTGTATGAGAGTAAGCAAACATGGCGTACAAAGACCAACAGCTTCGGACAAGGCGTTCTTGATAAACAGACGTTGCTCGAGCGAAAGAAACAAAAACAAGTACTGAGATTGCTGTTCTACCTCAAAGGGCTCTGACTAATAGCGCGATTTCTCAGTCATCTTTAGCTGAGAAGATCAAAGAGTTGGAGCACAAGCTGACCACAGAAGAGTTGTCAATACAAGATGTCATCAAGAAATGTACAGCAGACCCCCCCAAGATGATCGAAGAGCACGGGAGGCATAAAATTGCCCTTTCCCAGAAAAATGTAACAAATCGTTGAACTTATGGGAAAAGCTTTGATGTTGGTTGAAGATCGAAGCGGCTCAACGGGACTTGGAGAAGCTCAAATATCGCGTCATCCGAGAAGATTATGTGAGCTCCTCAGAACGCGGGGAGAGCGCAGGAGTGATTCTAGGTTGGCAGGAAATCAAAGCCCTCGAGCTGGAGTTGGAATACCTTGAGCTCGGTCAAGGAATGCCTCTACCGAAGCAAGTGATGCTGGCGTTGCCTCGTGAGGCCCTCGAGGGTTGGAAAAGTGCAAAAGACAAGTTTGATGCGGTGAGCGATGAGGTGTGAGTTGAAGCGCTGAACGCTGAGCATGTCGTGTGTAGTTGTTTGGAAACGACAAGAACCAAGAGGTGAGTGCAGGCGCGAGAGCAGAAGTTGTCAGGTCTAAGCTTGCTTCCAGCCGAATCAGAAGACGCAGAACGAATGGTTTAGCTTCTTCGAAGGCGATCAGCGCAAAAATGTCAAGTCAGATGACAAGTAGATTTGCCGTCACATGCGCAGCAGCGTTCTCAGCGTGTTGCAGGTACTTCGGGATGCCTCTGATTGACCCGGTCTCGGGGAAGTTGGACATGGAGGTTGTGAAGAGGAAGAACAAGGACACAGTCCTCAAGGCCAAGGTCCGCAGGCGCCTCATCCTCGTCTCTACAAGCTCACCCACATGCAGGAGGACAGCAAGACCATCGTCGACATCTTCCTCGGGAGAAGTGACGGCAAGACCAGGTTTGGAACTACACCTGCCATGCGGGCCAAAGAGAAACAAGTGCGAGAGGAGCAGCAAAGAGTATCTTGCCGTCCTTCTCTTGTCGCGCTGCTCACATTGCTCAAGATCGTGGACTCAATGCTGCGCAAGGCCATCAAGAACAACCCCTTCAAAGATGTCGAGGATTGGGCGAAATCGGAGAATCGTCAGAAGTCTGTGTTTGGGAGCTCACAACATCCGGTGAGAAGAGGAGGAGGAGGAGGAGGAACGTCGGGATGGCTCTGACAAGGCAGCAGGTGCTCAAGCAGAAGATGAAAGTGGTAGAGCTGGACAGCGGCGGGACGTACAAGTTGACTACGCTCGTTCCTGTCCGGCAAATGTCCTCCAAAGACAAGTACAGCCAAGACTCCAGCTCGCCGACTCGAGAGAGCGGCGACGTGTGGAGCTCAGAGTCTCTCGCGCTTCTCCTGAACAAGAACTACTACAGCGCGAACGACGGACAGACTCCCAACACCGTCGAGCGCAACTGAGAAGCCTCATCGTGAATAGAGTTGTGAATAGATGATATGTGAATGAAGTTTGTGCATAACAGACAGACAGTCTTTCAGAAGTCTTTGAGTTTCGTCAGCTGCTTTGTTTGTTGAACTCGACATCTTGACGGTCTGTTCCGTAAGGGCGAGGAGCAGCTTCTAATCTCTCTTTGAAGTATCTCTTACCAGTCTTGACGTCTTCAGCCCGATCGTCCTCCTTCCCCACTCGAGGAGAGTGGACGATGCGCTTTCCTCGACCTGTCCTCTTCATTCATCCACAACCCACAAGAGCCGAGCATTCTCACCCTCACCCTCTCCAGCTGAGGTCTCACCAGAGGTCCTCCTCCGCGACCCAGCAGCGTCTGCTCGAGGCGTCACGAGTACGAGCGGCTGAGAGTCAGACCTGAGAAGTCCTCCAGCTGGACTCGTCGAACCAGGGATCTGTTGGAACTGAAGTCTAGCCATCGCTCGCGTCGATCCGGTTGCTCGACCGGAGCTCGATGCTTCTGGCTCGTGCTCTCCTGCGGCAAGGTCTCGGGAATCCAGGGGACGACAGATTTGCCTGTAACCAGCGTCAACACAAGCATACACGAGCAACGGAGGAGAGGCGGAGGAGGAGGAGGAACCTTCAGGGCTATGTCTTGCCGGCGGGTAGTCACAAGTGGGAGCTCCCTCCTTAGGTTTCAGTCCGAAGTCAGAGTGAGCGATGCGAGAGAGCTTGAGGGAGTCGTTCTCCGTTGACTTCTTGGACAGAGGGATGATGCTCGGCTCCTCTGCTGGCCGTCAAGAACTGACACGTCACATCTCAGTAAGACCGTTGAGCGACGATCTCGGGCTGAAATGCTTCCTCCCACTCCGAGAGCCTCCGACTTGCTTCTTGTCGCTCTTCTCCCACACGTAGACCCTGCCGAGGTCAGGGGTCTGAAGAGGCTGTCAGAGAGCGTCTCGATCGCTCTCTCCCTACCTGTGCTGGAGACTTGGAGACTTTCGATCTTGCGGCCTCGACTCTCGCCTGCACCAGCCCTCAGACGGGAGCGGAGGAGAGACGCGAGGACCTCAAACTCTTGCTGCCTCTCAAGGGCTTCGCTCTTGTAGCTCTCCCTTGCTGTCCTGGTCCTCCGCCTCGTGGGGCTAGAGGGCGAGCTCGTCCTGTGACCTGCCTGCACGGGCAACTGCAGCGAGGAGGGATCGAAGTTTCGTTGGTGTGATCCGCTTTCGATTCGATTGAGCCTTTCAAACATGTCAAACATCTTCTTCGCCATGTTGTTGATCGCTTCAGCATCCTCATCTTCCTTCTCGCTGCTCGCCGCATTCGCGTCCCTGGCGGATGACTCGACTGAGGTGTTTGACGCATCTGTTTCCTGTGCATGCGGCTGAAATGACATCAGAAGCTCCTCAAACATCTCGTCAAGTTTGAAATCACCTGCTTCGCCTGCCGTCCACCAGCAGGGAATGTTTCCTTGTCGTGATTGACAGCTCGCCACTCGTTCATCTTATCCAGCATCTGCTCCAATCGCGCATTGACGTTCCTCACCTCGCTCCGCATCTCGTCGATCTGCGAACAGCATCAATTTCTTTCTTTCAACACACAGGCAGGCAACGGAGCGATCAGAAGCTATTCAACTCAAATCCAGCAGGCTAGTCTTGTCTCCAACTCTTTCCGTGCTTCACCTGCTCTCCCCTAGTGCTTCTCTCCTGTAACTTTGTTCCTCCTCACCATCCAAAAGATCTTTGCGTCCATTTCCTTCAGTCTGCCTTCAGAGTAATCTCTTAGTCTGCCTTCAGAGATCTCTGATATGCTATCAACCTCTCTCTTCTTCAGTCTGCTGTCGAAAACTCTTCTCGCCTCCCTCCTCTCCTTCTACTTATCCAGAATAGTCCAATCCTCCTCCTCCTCCTCCTCCTCTTGCCCCAAACCGATTCCCCAACAATCATTTACTTCTCTCGTCTCCCCTGACTTCTCTTCTCCAGTCTTTCTCTCATCTCATCTCATCTCATCTCATCTCATCTCATCTCATCTCATCTCTTCTCATCTCATCTCTTCTCATCTCATCTCATCTCATCTCATCTCTTCTTTCTTCGTCTTACCTCCCTCTTCCACTGCTCCATGTCGCCACGCCACGATCCGAAGGAATACTTCATCTTCCTCCCCTCCTTCTATCGTATTTCAGGGGGGTAGGGGTGGTGTTTCTATCAGGCAGTTTAGGTTCCTTTTTAGAGGCACGACCATGGACTTGTACCGTCATGTCTTGCAACACAGACAAGCTTGTCGGTTCCTCTACCAACATCACTTCAAATTTCACCTACTTGCTTACTAGTTTCCACTACCTCTACCACTCGCGAGTGAACTTGAAGAAACGTGACTTCAATCTCAGGAAACCCTGACGATTGCGGACAAGTCTGTGGTAACTCCCGAAGCAACACAATGTGATGCATCGACCTTTGGTGGTGTACCAGACAGTCACAATGGTTTGTCTCAAAGATATCGTGACAACGAAAAGAATATCGAAAAGTTGTCCTCGCACTCTCCCGGCCGTTTCGCACACTCGAAGCCAACCTCCATCAGCAGACGAAGAGGGTCAGAGTCGAGTTGTGTGAGTGGTAGCAGAGCTGCTATCACTTCTTCTTGTCCTTCTTTTCAACAGGTTTCGGGTTCACGAATGGAATGAACTTCTTGCCGCCCATGAATGGCTGAAGCACCTCAGGGACGTTCATCCCGTCTTCCGTCTGCCGCACATCATCATCATCAACAACAAATGTCGTCATCTGCTGTACCTGATAGTTCTCGACCAGGCAGCACAGAGTTCTTTCAGTCGCCGTCAGCGTCGAGTTGAGCATATGAACGTAGCTCTTCACGTTGGTGCCGACCTGGAAGGCGTCATACAAGCCTTGTCTTTCTCCTCCACTCCACACCTGCTTCTTCTGAGCAGCAGAGGCACCAAAGCGAGTCTCGACACGTCGAGCCTGATAGTCAGTGCAGTTGGAGCAGCTGACCTGTTGCCACAAACACATCAGTGAACATCTTGACCTGCTCTTGCAAGGTTTCACCAATTCACGATATGCTCCGGAGCCAGGGAACCACGCTTCAAGATCGTACTTCTTGGCTGGTGAGAAGACGTAAGAACACGTAAGAGAGAGCACGATGAGATAAGAGAAAGGAGAGAGAGATGGCAGAAAGGAGAGAGAGATGGGAGAAAGGAGAGAGTAAAACAGACCTGCCGCGTCATTCAAAGCACCAGAAACGATAGCGACAACACGATAAGGGATCCCAAGGGACTTGTAGAATTCTTCTGACGTTCCGATCATCTCTTCTAGCATCTCCCACGACCTACAGAGCAACTTTCAACGCCCCGAAACAGTCGCAGCGCACGATCACTTGTTGTCCTCTGGTGACGTCACGCAAAACTGCTCAATCTTCTCGAACTGATGCACGCGGAAGATGCCGAGCGTGTCACGCCCGTGGGAGCCAACCTCCTTTCTGAAGCATGTGGAGATACCCACGTACCTGCGTCAGAGCTCTCAGCACGCACAGCCAGCGAGCGATCAATCTCCAACTTTCTTGGCAGCTCCTTGGGATCAACCCACAGATTTCGGTGGTAAGCGCAGATCGGCTGTTCCGAGGTGGCGATGAGGTATTTGTCGTCGCCCTCGCCGCTGACTTTGTACAACTCCTCATCGAATTGCGCGAGCTGCACCAACGAGTCACGCTCAGCACACTCGGACCTCAACGACTGCACCTGGGCCACCGCCGCCATGGCATCTTTCTGCATGAAGAATGGAGTCTGGATGGGAACATATCCGCGGGGGCAGAGGAACGCAAGACCGTAGCTGATGAGCGCCTGATTGAGCAAGACGCCATCACCAACGAGGAAGTAGCCTCTGTTTCCTACACAGGCAACATCAGTTCAGCCAGCAGCAGCTTGCTCGGCACGAATCTCACCGGCAATGGCAGCCCCTCGCTCCGTGTCCGCTAGTCCGAGCATGGGGACGAGATCCACGTGACTAAGCTTGCCCTCGTGCTTCGAGGCGGCAGCATCAAGCTCCTTGACGATCTTGAACTCAGGAACACTCTCGGTCTGCAGAACCTTCTCGAGAGCGAAGGTGCGAATGATGGCATTGTTGTCCTCGTCGTCGCTGACGGGCACCGAATCAGGCACCAAGTTGCCAATCTTGCACAACATTTCATCTCTCTCAGCCATGCACTTGTTGCAAAGCTCCTCGGCTGCCTTGATCTCGGCATCGATCTCTTTCGCTTTGGCAATGAGTTCATCTGCGTTCTCTCCCGCCTTCTTCTTCATCGCCACTTCCTTGTTGACTTTGCCATAGTCCCCCCTCAAGTTGTCAACCTTGAACTGAAGTTGGCGCCATTGGACATCGGCCTCGATGACCTTGTCAACGATCTGCACGTCCTTGTGCCTCCTTCTCTGCGACTCTCGCACCTTCTCAGGGTCTCCGCCCTTCTCCTCCCTGAACCCGTTGATGTCCAGCATCGCGCACGAGGGTTCTTAGAGGATGGAGGACGGGTGGTTTTCATTGGCAGAAAGGGGGTAGTCTCCTCTGGGGGTACGTGGCAGGACCCTTGGGGAGTAATAAATGAAGGGTGGTAGCATCAAGGGGGGTGGGGTGAGAAATCCAGTACAAAGGTGGGGTTATATTGGGTAGTTTATGGGGGTACTTCGTTATTTTGACTACCCTTGTTCGGTATCGGGTGGGGTACCCTTCAGCAATCGTTACAGTCGTTACGGATTGTTGTGAACGACAGTTACAACCGTTAAACTATATTGGGCGCACATGGCGGTAGGAAGGTGATGGTCGCCCTCCAGCTGAGGATCAACTTCGCTCCTCCTCCTCCCTCTTGCTCTACTGATCGAACTGCCGGCGGTATGGCTGAGTGGGGGAGAAAGATCTTTGTCATCGGGACTGCCGCTTGCTTCATCGGGACGGTCCTGCTGCTCGTGATCAGATCTGAGGGATCCAACGGCAAGGTCAGGAGTGATGAGATCGAGCTCATGTCAAATGAAAAAGGAAGAGATCAAGACCTTTTCCTGGCCCAAGCTCGCCGGGAATTTGGACGGAGACAGAGTACAGCAATGGTAGACTGGGATGGGGAAGACATTCAGACTGAGGAAGAGCGAGTGAAAGAGAAGCTGGAGAAGATAGAAGCCTTCTACGAAATCCAACCGCAGGTCAACAAACAGTTGCAATCCTCTGCGGACATGGTTAGAGCTTACCTGGGGGAGAGAGGGGTGTGGAGAAGCCTTATGCATACCGACCTGCTAAATGCCAGAGGTAGGCTCCACGCGGCAGAGGAAGCGGTGATGAGGAAGTTCGACTTGGAGGAACAGATCAAGACCCTCCATCGCATCAAGGAGGAGGCGATTGACATGCGTCAAAGCAACAGGCAGAGAGACGAAATACAAGACAAAGCGTTGAAAGCGCTTCAGAACCTCTACACAAGGGTTCCACCAGTGCTTAAGACGACGGCGTTTGATGAACGAGACCGAAATGTCCGAGCACTGGCAAGAGATGCAAACAAGCTGAACGTTGTATTAGACAGCCAGAGTCAGTCCTACCGCACTTTTATCAAAGACACGCTGAAAAAGTATGGCAACACTCTTCGTGCAAGAGGAGACGAGGTGAAGAAAGATTTGTTTGCTGCACAAGACGGCAAGATGAGCTTCTGGAGTCGATTAGCTCGAAATCTCACCGACACCGCCGAGCAAGGAGTGAAGAATAAGCTGCGCATGTGGAATGATATGGTCGTACAAGTTTCCTCGTTGGTTGCGAAAGCGGAAGGTGAGATAGGAAAGTTGCAGCCGATGCTGGAGGCATGGAAGGACGCGAGCTTCATCAGCATCTTCTCGCTCAACTCGAGCTTCGCTGACCTCATTCAGGGCGTCGGATCATCGATGTCGCTCGTCCACAAGGGGAACCAGCAGAATCTAGAGGACGTGATGCGATTGAGAAGGAGACTCAATGAGCTGATCGAGAAGATTGCGGTCGGCATGCAACCTTGCTTAGGGACCATGATGGTGTCACAAGGGCTGCGCGCCATGCTCTCCATTCTGCTGGCAAAGAATGCGAGCCTTTCAAGTGCAGACAGCAAGGCTGAAGAAAAACTTCACAACTCTAGCTCCTTGTTCCTCACAATCCAGTCCAAGTTGCTAGATAAGCAGAGCAAGTTGAATCGTCTTGAAGAGTTGTACAACGATGAGGCGATGAAGAATCTCTCTGTCTCCGAGGCTGCTAAGGTTGCTGCAAGACACTACCAACAATCCGTACAGAGGAACGAGGAGAGCAAGAAGAACATCCTCGATGAGCGGGAGCTGATCTTGTACATTCTGAAGCTTTTGAGCCAAAACCAACTTAGACGAGCCAGCTCTGACACTGGACGCCTGCTAGAGATGGAGAGAAGGATCGACAGCCTCGACCCGCTGCTGCAGGATCGCAGGCAAAGCAGGGGCGAGCAGCTCGAGATCCACATTGAGGACACGGAGGAGGTCAAGGAGGTGAAGAGTATCCTGCTGGAGCTGCTCCTGCGGTTGAACGAGCAGCTGGAGCTGCTGGACCATCAGCTGGGAGTTGTCGAGAAGCTCAAGGAGGAGAGCGAAGCGTTGGCTGTGGAGCTGCAGGCTCGCCTACTGGCGTCGTCAGAGGCGATGAGGAACGTGACGAGCCGGATCTCTCTGCTCTCGAGCATCGTGTCTGACGCTCACAGTCAGTTCAAGTATCGATCGTCCGAGAACCTTGCGCTGCATGAGACGATCGCGGAGCAGCTGGTGCTGAATGAAGAGGAGGAGCAGGTGGTGCGGTTGGCCCTGCAGCAGAACGAGGAGAAGGTGCAGTCGTGCATGAAGGAGCACAATCTGGATGCGATCCCGAAGGCGATCGGAGGAAACAAGCAGGCGGAGTCTGCGTGGGAGAGATTGATCCGCCGCCTTACAATGCGGAATAGCAGCTCGCTTGTGATGAAGGATGCAGAGCAGAGTAGAGGTGGGAGGGGAGGGGTTGATGGCTGAGGTCTCGTGATGTGTGCTGCAGGGCTTCGACTTGGCGAAGAAGCTGCTGCATCCTCTGTTGACAGACTGGCGCTGAATGGGATGGAGGTAACCTCTCCTCCCTCCGCTTTCTCTCCTTTCCTCCTCCTCCTGCCTCATTCTAGCCACCCCCGACCCTTGCCCGGCGACGCTCAGCTGACCAAGTCGATGCAGGAGGACATGAGCAGCGACGAGGAGCTTCATCGTCAGCTGGCAGAGAGCAGGAAGAGAGCTCTGCGGTTGCGACAGTCGCTGAGTGAGATGAGAGGGGAGGAGACGGGGGAAGACTGACTTGCATGTCGTCAGACCGTCTGGTCCACGAAGACAAGGGAGCGAAAAGCGGAAGCAGAGGACGATGGGGATAGAACGACAAACTTGTACAGTAAGCATATTCTTTTACTCAGACAATGAGGTCGAGGGCGATGAATGAAGGATAGAAACCTCTCGTCCTCGTCCTCCTCCCCTTCCCCCACCCTCCCCTTCCCTTTCCCTCCTCCTGCTTAGCAGTTAACGCAGTGAACGTCGTCATCTGCAGCTCCATCCTCATGTCGTAGCAGCAGCTCCTACTCGACGTCAGACGCTGCCAACGTGACTAGCAAGCACCTGGTAGGCCTGCACGATGAGGAGAAACTTGGACTCTGCTTCCTTCCTCTCGTCTCTGCTCCATAGCTCAGAGAACCTCCTCTGCCTCCCCGCCCCACCCTTCTTCTCATCCTTCCCGCCCCCCGCCCCCCCTCGTCTTCCTACTTTCTCCCCTCCCATCCTCAAGCCCTTCACACTGCACCAGCTCCTCCGCCTCCCCTCACCTCTTTGGCGTATTTGGGTTGTCAGGATTTTTGTCTGGATGCCACTTGAGCGACAGTCTGAGTGGTCGTCAAGGCGTGAATCCGCACTAGCAATCTCCCCACCCCCCCTCCCCCTCTCCTCCTTCTCCCTCCCCCTCCCCCTCCTCCATCACCACCACCATAAGCACCATCACCACCACCAGCTCATCCTCCGTTGTCCTTTCCTCCCTCCCACCTGTGGTATGCTCGTTTGATGTCGCTACGCGTGCAGGAGGGCTTGAGCTCGAGGATGTCGTACAACCCGCTGCAATCTTGGTCACAGGAAGGAGGAGGAGGCGAGGGGGTGGGAACAACCGAGGAACCTTCTTGGTTTGCGAAGGCGACTTTCCTTGCTTCCCCTTCTTGTTTCCTCGCCCTCCTCCTTTCCCTTCCCTCCAACTGCCATCTCCGAACTGACAGGAGGCTTCAGCGTAAGAGGATCGAGCAGGAAAGAACCTGATATTTCCACTTGTCCTCCTCGACTTTCTTCTTCGCCTCTTCCGCCTTGCGCTTTTCCTTCTGCTCGCGCTGCCTTGCTCGCTCTCTGAACTCTCTCTGCCTGCGGAGCTCCTTCGTCTACTCCACGAGATCAGCCGCTTCCTCCTCCCGTCCCTCCCTCACCTCCTCCTCAGCCCACTGCAGAGCTTGTCGAGGCTCCACAGCCTGTGGGGAGAGTTTGACACTCCAGCTACAGGCATAGGTCGCTGGCAGAGAGTCAGCGAGTTGGAGACGTGAAGGAGACGACAGCAGCAACAAGATGGAGGAAGGGAAGACAAGAGAAGACACGCGGGTTGAGCAGGAGGAAGAGACCTGGTTCAGGATGCTTCAGCTTGTAGTAGACCCGGCACAGGAGACGCCAGGCATCTACAGCATACGGCAGCGTCCTCGAGGAATCGACCTAGTAAATTCATTCATCACCTTTGCCTCACCCTCCTGCTTTCTCTTTCCCTCCTTTCCCTCCTCCTCGTGCGCCACCGCAATCTCATCGCTGCCTCCTGCTTCTCCCACTCCTCTCGTTCGACCCTCTCTGTATCATCTAGTCGCCTCACCTTCATCGCTGTTCTCAGCAAAGGAAGCGACTCTCGGAGCTTCCCCTCCTTGTACCCAAATCAGCTCGTAAAAGCAACACCAGAAAATCGGGGAGCAAAAGCAAATTGAGAAGGAACAGGGGGAGTGGAAAAGGAAGGAGGAGCAGGAGCAGGAGCAGGAGCAGGAGCAGGAGCAGGAGCAGGAGCAGGAGCAGGAGCAGGAGCAGGAGCAGGAGCAGGAGCAGGAGCAGGAGCACTATATACCTGAATGAGAGATCTCGCATGCTCGAGCAGCGCATTTCCGTAGAGCACTCGAGTCTCAGAGGGAGCTTGATTCATCTGCATCCCTTGCTGCATCGCAATCTCGATCGCCTCCCCAACCACCTGCCAACTGCTGTCATTTCCTCCTCTCTTCTCCTCCTCGCTCTCATCTTTTCTTCTCTCTTCTCCTCTTCTCATCCTCAATCTCGTCGTCTTCCTCGAAGACATATTACCTTGTGCTGCTGCAAGTTTGCAGCAGCCGATGCCTTTCCCAAAAGAGAAGGAACAAAGCCTGCGTATGAGTTGAGGGAGGAAGGGAGGGAGGGGAGGGAGGGGAGGGAGGGGAAGGAGGGGAGGGAGGGAGGGAGGGAAAAAGAGCGCAGGTTGACCTGCTCGTTGCGCGAGGATCTGGGAGTGGATGGCAAGGGATTCCTCCCATCCCCCGAGCTTTCCCAGCAGGTTCGCCATCAACGCCCGAAGGCGAAGAATCTCAACGAGAGGAGGAGCGCGGCCGCACTTCATCACTGTCTCGTTCCCGAACGTTTCCTCGCACCTCTCAGCCTGCTGCGAGTCAGAGCGAAACTTGTCCAAGCAATTCTTTCTCTTCAAGTGCGTTTTGCATCCCTTCCCTCTTTCCTTCCTTTCTTGCCCTCCCTTCCCTTCCTTCTTGCCTTCCGTGGTTCCCTCCCCTCCATCTTCTCACCTCATCCCGTAGCCTTCGCAGGCTACGGATAGCAAGACGATAAGATCGCAGTGCCATGCGAGCTGACTCGGAGAACAGGGGGATCCTTCCGCCATGCAAGGAGGAATTTCCTTGCTGCCATGCACATCGATCGGAGCAGAGGTTCGCCTCCAGGTACCGCAGTGACCGCCTGTTCTGCAGCTCCTCCACCATCCCCTCCGCTACCTCTGCGATCACCACGTGCAGCGCCGCCTCGTCGCGTCCTCCCGGCTGCTTTAGCCCCTCTTGGAGGATCTCGATCGCTGCCGTCGAGTTGCCTGACCTTCTGGCTGCAAGGGCTGCCTGCAGCCGGTAGTGGACCACCGAAGGGCGGAGACGGACAGCACGCAGGGCGCTTGCGAACGCCTCCTCGGGGTTGGATCGCTGCAGTCTTGCTGCTGCAAGGCCGCTGAAGAGCGGAGGGTAGTTGGGGAATGAAGAAGTTCCCAGCAGGAAGACGCGCGTCGCCTCCTCGACGTGGCCCTGCTTGAGGAGGATGTTGCCCATGCTCGTGAGGCACTGAGCCTTCACAGCCCCGCTGTCCATGCAGCGACGGAAGCACGACTTCGCCTCCTGCAGTCTCCCTTGAGTCATCAGCGCAACCCCGAGGGTGTAGTGGAGCATGAGGAAGTTGGGATGCGCCTGCAGGAGCTTCGTGATCGCTCTCTCCGCCTTCTCGTGCTGACCGACATGCACAGCCGCCGCCCAGACGTTATTGACCAGCGCTTCTGTCCTGACTTGCTTCTCCTCCTCGCTCCCCTGAGTCCCAACTTTGGAGGGGTCAGATATGTTCACTCCCGCATAGAAGTCCAGCACGTCCTGGCCTTCCCCTGCAGCCACCAGCACCATGTCCTCGTTGATCAACCCGGCCAGCCTCACACACATCTGCCTGCAGTTGTCGCCCGCCGCCTCCCCGAACCTCTCCTGCACTTTGAAGCAGGACCGCCAGCATCGCTCCGCTGTTGTGTTCATGAGAGGCAGGGGCCCTCGGCACTTGCTGGGCGGGAGCTCTACTACAGCTGCTGGAGGAATGTTCGTCGCGTCTTCCTCCTCCTGCACCACCTCCTCCAGTGTCTGCGAGGCGAGATGTCAGGGGCAGAACCAAGAGGGGCATGAATGACCTGTTCATCTCCCTCCTGTCCTTCAGCTTCTGCTCCCTGCCACCACGATCAACATGTCAGTAACTTCAAGTCTTGGCCAGGGGAGTCACCTCTTCCTCCTCCTCCGCCTCGGCCTCCTCCTCGTCTATATAGTTGGGGTCGTGAGCAGAGCACACAAACGGCTCTGCGTCCCCAACTTCCTCATCGTCGACACACTCGCCGACCCCTGGAGGGCAGGAGACACGACGAAGGACAGGGTCCAAGTCAGGAGCGAAGAAGTTGAAGAGGACGGGCGAGTCAAGAGCCTTCTCGCCATGTCGGCTCAAGGCTGAGGATGCTTCGTGCAGACCAGTTCCTGCAAACTCGCAGGCGAAGCAGGAAATGTTGCTCCGCGCGATGTTCACGTCTGTCCAGCCGAACTTGTCCATCACCACCCCATCCTCCTCTTCTTGCGAGAGTCCTCCTATCTCGGCCGCTCCATTGTTGGGCTCCCACGGCAGCCAGTTCACGTAGTCCACGTCGCTCATCTCCCTGCTAGACCACTCCCACGATCCTTCCCGCTCTTGGTCATTCAGCCCTATCCACATCTCCTGCATCCGACATCCTTTCGCCCTGCCCAGCTGCAGCAGCTTCTGCTCGTGCTGGTGCGAGTAAACCCCGCTCAGCTGCCCTCCCCTGCTGCGGCACTTCTCCTCAGCCTTTGTCCTACTTCCTGCCTCCGGGTACACCACGAAGCACATCTGGTCGAGGGTGAACCCTTCGCAGGGTGTCTTCTTAGAACAATCTGCACCAAAATATCCCTCCTCGCACGTGCACATCCCCGTGACTGCGCCGCACACTCCATGTCCCGAGCAGTCTCTCGCGCAGGAGGACGCTTCCTCTCCGTGTGCGCTGCTCTGTCCCTCCTTGTAGGAGCAAGCATAGCAGTCTGCCATCCCGGCCTTCCCGGCGCTGTCATACCACTGCTTGGTGTCCTTCCGCAACAACACCACGTCCTCGTTGCCCTTGTTGTTGGGCTCATTCTTTGCCCAGTTGAACCATGTGGCACGGGGCCCATCCTGCCACACGTACGATCCCTCCTCCTTCATGTCATTCAGACCTATCCACGCACTATTACATCCTCCAAACACTCCGAGCAGCGCATTCTGCTGCTCTTTCGATTGCAGGATCGCCAGCGTTCCTCCTCCCAGCTTACACTTTTCCTGCGCCTTCTTCCATGAAGTCTTCTTCTCGAAGACAGTGTAGCACCTTCCTCCCACTGTCGCCGAGTCGCAGGCCACCTCCACGCTGCAGTCAAAACCAGAGAAGCCTGTGTCACAGATGCATGTTCCCGTCGTGTTCTGACAGACTCCATGACCGCTGCAGCGATCGACACATCCTCTACCATCTGCATCTTGCATGGAAGTGCTGTGGCGCACCACTCGCCCGCTCACAACTCCCTTTTGTTGATGAGGTACCCAGTGGCCATCGACGACAGCAAAACACTGCCGCCGCCATTCATGAGACCCAAATGCCGGTCGATGCCACGAGTAAGCATTGCACTTCGCTCCTCCTGACGAATATCGGAAGCAGGCAAGCTCACAGTCATCCACCTTGTCGAACATTCCGAGAAAGATCACTGTTCCGGTGGAAGTTCGAGACTTGGCTACGCCGAAGACATTGTTCACGTCCATGAACATCTCGCTCGATGGCCGGTAGTTCACTGTGGCCTGATAGACCTGTTGCACTGATGACGTCATCTCGCATTCCCACTTGACGAAAGTTGTATCATGCAGGTAGTGTCCATGCCAGTTCCCCTGTATCTTCACCGGCTTGCATTTCCATGGCTGCGACGCCGGGCCCTTGAGGTTGCGGGTCTTCACTTGCTGTCCCACACACGACCAGACGGAAGAGAGCAGGAGCAGGAGCCGCAGGAAAGCTACCCCATCCTGCGCATACCTCTCCCTCCCCATCGCCCGTTCTCCCTCCCTCCTCCCTCCCTCCTCCCTGCCCAGTTGTCGGGCGAATGAGACGTGGAGGTTACAGGACAGCGATGTCTCACTATCAGAAAAAGCGAAAGAACTTGCTGCCTTTTACAATCGCTGAGGCGGGCTTGTCACATTTACTTGCAGGGGACGCATATCGTGTACAATGAAGTGAAGGAGGGAGAGGAGGGAGGGAGAGGAAGTGAGGGAGAGGAGGGAGGGAGGGAGGGAGTTGAAGGAGGAGTGTGGACAGGAGGACCTGGATAGACATAACGATGATTGCAAGAGTTCACTTGAGATAGCGAGGCGGGAGGGGGTGGACCAAAGAGAGATGATGAGGGTTTAGGATTACACAAAGTGTTGCGATGCACTCTGCCTGTTACCTGGCGGTTCTCAATCGCTAATGATCGGTCAGAGAGTAGTTGACTATTAGAATAGCATGCATGGGAGGACTGTTCTACTTGCACGCAGCTTGAAAGAGTCGAGCAAAGAAGAATCATGTGATAATGGTCACAGGGGGCCGAGCAGGGGATGAAGGCCAGGTCGTTGCATCTGCATTCATTCACCATCATGCGGTTTGCCTTCACCTCGATGATAGTGTCGACAGCACGAGCATACACAGGGCACGCGACTTTCACACTTCGCCGTCATGTTGTATGCAACAGGAACGTGCAGTTACCAACGATGATACATTCCCTGCCCAACCGCAACCAGCTTGCTCGACTGTCTCTTGTGGGAATGCGGAGCATGTCCGGTAAGGTCAAAGAGATCGAAGAGCAACTCAGAAAGGACGATGCCATGGAAGCGCCTGCAGACTTGGAGGGGAAAGTGAATCTGTATGCGCTCAACCAGACAAGAATGGAAGAGCTGCTGCTTGACTGGGGAGAGCCCAAGTGAAGTTCTGAGTTGATGTAGTCACTGTGACTTAACGTGCTAGCAGATTTCGAGCGAAGCAGATCTGGCAATGGATAAACGTCAAGGGAGCTACTGATTTCGACAAAATGCAAGACTTGCCAAAGGGGCTGAGAGCCAAACTCGCCGAAAAAGCTGTTCTTGGCAACCTAGAGGCAATCCAAGATTTGTGCTTCCCATTTCATCCTTCTTTGTTGTGTACTCCATTCGTGCTCTTGCTTATTCTCTCTTGTCTCAAACTATCACCTCGCATCATGCTCTGCTCGAAACCAACCTACCAAACTTCGGCTAACCCTTGATGGATGGCAGATTGCAGTTGAGCAGGTGAGCAAGGATGGAACTATAAAACGTGCCTACAAGGTAGCCTCTTCTGGTGCTCCTCAGATGCTCATGTCAATGAGCAGCTCAAGGATGGACAAATGATTGAGTCTGTATTGATGCCTTACGATGACGGGAGGCGAACAGCTTGCATTTCGTCTCAGGTGCTTGTTTCCATATCAGTGCAATATTTTTCACGTGCAATGCAGGCGGGATGTGCGATGGGGTGCGTTTTTTGTGCAACTGGACAGATGGGTTTCGCACGCCAGCTGACTTCAGTCGAGATCCTGGAACAGGTGCAACGATTTCATGTTGAGGTGAGAGTCGTTTGTTTTCCCATTGCAGCATGTAGATCTTAATTGGTCCCTTCAGCTCTTGAGCAAAGGAGAACGGCTTTCAAATGTCGTTCTGATGGGGATGGGAGAGCCACTCGGCAATTACAACAATGTCATGGAGGTAATCCTTCACTTCGGTTTATCGTCTATTTCGTATGTGGTTTCCATCTGGTTCAATCGACACACAATCCCCGCTTCTTCATGTCATGACACTGTCTCCGTGTCAGTTTCACACGCGTTTTGGGAACTGACCTCCGAGCAGGCAGTCCGACGTATCAATCAAGATCTGGGGATAGGAGCCCGGCACATAACTATCAGCACCGTAGGACTTGTTCCAAGGATCCGCCGACTAGCAGAAGAAAACATGCAGGTGATGAATGTTCGATACTATTTTCTGATGACACTGGGTGACAAGATAAAACTTGCGGTCAGTCTGCATGCAGCTTCGGATGAAGGTGCTTGTAATCTCTGCAATAATACCTGTGATTCCTTCTTTGTCTGCAGAACGAAACGCAATCATGCCAGTCAACTTGCGCTTTCCCTTGGCCGATCTCATGGAAACCTGCAAGTTCTACGTCGAGAAGACTGGTAGAGAACATCGTCTTCAAGCTTTGTGCTTGACCACAATCCAGGAAGGAGAATTTCGTTCGAGTGGGCCTTGATCGCCGGCCAGGTATACAATGGGAAAATGATATTTGAATTTAAATATTTGCAGAATGATACACCGGAGGTGGCAAATAAGCTTGGACACCTTCTCAAAGTTGAACTCAGTCGCATTGGTATCAGTGGAATGATTTCAATCCGCAGGGCCTTAACAAGATGTGTCACGTCAATCTCATCCCTCTGAATCCTACTGCTGGTTTGTCACTTCCAGAGAGGAGCTGACAATTTCTTTTTCCTTGAGCCTGATTCAAGGTTTCGACGGGAAGCCGACCAAGGCGGCGGAATGTGACATCTTCATCAAGATCTTGTCCAAGTACGGAGTGACCGCCACTACCAGGTAAAGGGGTGGGCTGTGTAGGGAGGTTGTGTTCTCAGTGCTCTTAGGGTACGACGAGGCATTGACATCGATGCCGGATGCGGACAGCTCAAGTCTAAACTGAACAAGGTGTCTGCTTGCGCCATGATCCCCTTCTATGGTTTCGATGTGCGCTAATTTTCGGATTGGGATATAGGTTGTCGGTCGAGGAGGCGCTCCACTATGAGGTACGGTTCACAGACGTCGGAACAAGGATGGTGCTTCCAAGTTCCGTGTTCGATTGTATTGAAACAGTTGCACTGTTGTCACCAGTCAACAAACGTGTTTAAAGCTATTGTCACGGGCCGGGTTTGTCTCCACGGTCCCGCTGTTTGCTCGCGATACAGTGGAGGATTGCGAGCCCCGTAGTACCATACATCACGCCTTCAGTAAGCCACCTAGTACGTCGACCCAGTCAAGTTCAATGCCTGGCCGCGCCCGGTGCATCACTGATCAACGGTCAGGTTCAACGACGGTTGTCACGGCGACTCACTTCCAAGTTCCGAAATACTCACTGTTAGTACCGGGACGGCCTGGGCAACTCCGCTGAGGACTCGCCCCGCGGCGTTGTCACTGACGAGGCCGGCCGGACCGCGGCCGCGGGGTGAGGGCTCAGGGCTCAGTCGGCTCAGTCGCCTCCGAGGCCCGGGCCACTGAGACTCCGGGGCGGCCCTGCCGCAGCATTTTGTAAATATGATTTCAAAGATCAATTTAAATTTGAAATTTGACCTTTAAAATTGCTTTTGGCATCAAAACATCCGAGCCCGCCCTCAACTTTGCGATGCTTGAAATTGGAACTCTAGGCTTGAAACGCACATTTCAAATTTCATTTCAAATCTTCAAAGTTTAAAGAGCTAGTTCGACAGCCGCCTTCCCGCCGCGGCACACCGGCGCATGCGCATTTTCCTCTTTTGCAGTGGCTACTCTGCGCGCATCTCCATGCTCTTCATGCATAACCACCTCATATTCATATGCTTATCTTCATTGGCTTCTTGTGTGCTGATTCCTGTTCTGATCCTACTGCTTGCTCTCTCTCAAACCCCCATCAGACTGAACCTTTCTCCACAAACCTCGTGCTGCATTCCATGGAATCCACCGCCTAATCAACCTTCTATTGTCTGACTTATGCAATCCTCAAGACACGATCCACAAGTCTGTCATATGTAACAGACTTGCCTCAATTGTGGTATGGTGCAACTCCTTGTAGTGTGGTTTCTTTACTTTGCCAGTTTAAACTCATTTGTTCATGTGTATCTGGCGTACAATGTTGCTCTTCCTTATACCTGACTCTGATATCTTGTACTTGGCACTGTTCTGATGTTGTTCGTCAGCAGGTGCATAGTCTCTCTTGGTCTGCAACAAAGCAGCACGAGGGAAATGTATACTCACTGAACTTTTTCAAATTCCCTGAGCAAGTTCTTGTCTATCTGACAAATATTGATCTTGGCTCTGGAATTTTTGGCAAATTGTGAATTGTTTCATATTGCTACATCATGCCGCGAAACTATTCTCAGCTCATCACAAGCAAAGGATGCGAAGTGGTGAAGGTCAAATGCGTTCAGTTCGGTATCCTAAGCCCCGATGATATAAAGAATTTTTCTGTGGCAGAAGTCAAGACGATCGAAAAATTCGATGCTCAAGGAAAGCCAAAGACTGCAGGTCTCATGGATCCACACTTGGGTGTCCCGCCAAGGGCTGCATACAAATGTGCCACATGTCATGGTTCTGATGAAACCTGCCCGGGTCATTTCGGTCACATTAACCTGGCAGAGCCTGTCTATCATTGTGGTTTTCTTACAATGCTTCAGAAAATTTTGGGTTGTGTTTGCCATCAATGTGGAATGCTCATGGTGGATGAACGAGACATCCATTTTAGAAGTGCTCTTCGCCTCAAACATCCTCAAGCGAGGCTGAATGCAATTGCAAGTATTTGTAAATCCAAAAAGAAATGCTCTCACGAGGCCATGGACAAGAGTGAAACCCAAGTGGATCGTGGGTGCGGGGCTCCACATCCTTCCATTCTCAGGGCGGGTCTGAACTTCAAAGTCAAATATCCCACTGTGAGCGCCGAAGAGCATGTTGACGAAAGTCTGCAGGGTGAAAGAGAGCTGTTTGCAGATGAAGCGTTGGCGATTTTGAGACGTATCACTGATGAGGACTGTGAGAAGCTTGGGCTTGATCCCCGCTTCGCTCGTCCCGACTGGATGATCGTGCAAGTTGTAGCAGTTTCCCCTCCCCACGTACGCCCCGCTATCATGACTGATTCTGGGAGCCGTGGTGAAGATGATATCACTTTCAAGCTTGGTGATGTGATCAAGGCAAACAATCATCTCAAACAGCTGAAAGAAAGTGGTGCACCACCTTCGCAAAGGCGAGAAAGCCAGATGCTCTTGCAATACCACTTAGCCACTATGTACAACAACGAATTAGCTGGTCAACCTCAGGCTCAACACAGAAATGGCAAGGCTATCAAGAGTCTTCGCCAACGCATCAAAGGGAAGGAAGGAAGGGTTCGTGGAAATTTGATGGGCAAACGAGTTGATTTTTCTGCGCGCACAGTTATCACCGGAGATCCTACTATTAGCTGTGATCAAGTCGGTGTGCCCAGATCTATCGCTTACAACATGACATTCCCGGAGATTGTGTCAATTCACAATATTGAAAACATGAGAAATCTGGTGATGAATGGTCCCGATCAACATCCTGGGGCAAAAAGCATTGTACGCTCTGATGGGAAAAGAGTTGATCTCAGATTTGTCAAGATGCAATCAGATCAAATTTTGGATTATGGATACATTGTAGAGAGACAAATGCAAGACGATGACTGTGTCATTTTCAATCGTCAACCTTCTCTGCACAAAATGTCCATGATGGGCCATAGAGTCAAAATTATGCCATATTCAACGTTCCGTTTGAACCTTTCCGTTACATCACCATACAACGCAGATTTTGATGGAGACGAGATGAATTTGCACTTGCCGCAATCATACGAAACGAAGAGCGAAATTTACAATATTATGATGGTGCCTTTCCAAATTGTATCTCCCCAGAAAAATGCGCCTGTGATGGGTATTGTTCAAGACACTCTCCTGGGATGTAGCGTCCTGACAAGAAGGAACACGTTCGTTGAGAAAGATCTGATGATGAATGTTCTGATGCACGTGCCTGGATTTGATGGACGTGTGCCGATTCCTGCTATTGTAAAGGCCCCCAACAATAAGGGACCATTGTGGACTGGAAAGCAAGTCCTTTCATTGGCAATTCCTTCGCGAAGGATCAATCTTTCTAAATTGAACCAGTACAAAACCGATGAAGATACAGGAGATGTTTTTAAGCAAACAATGACTATCAATGATGCACATATCGTCATTGAAGATGGTGAAATCCTTACGGGTTCGGTCGACTCCAGTGTCATCAAGACAAGCCAAGGAGGATTGGTTCACATGTGCTGGGCAGATCTTGGGCCGGCTGGTGCCCGCGACCTATTGAATAACACTCAGATCATAGTGAACCACTGGCTGTTACAGAATGGTTGGAGTGTTGGCGTCAGCGACATTGTTGCTAGTGCAGAGACGATCAAGGCCATCGGTGCATCGATCGATGCTGCAAAGAAAGACGTACAAGGATTTGTGGAACAATGGCAGCAAGGCTCTCTGAAGAAGCAGCCAGGGTGTACCATGCATCAGGTCATTGCTTTGTGCCAGAAATTCAGCTAGAACCCATAAATTTGACAGGTTTTTGAGATGCAAGTGAACTCAAGGTTGAACAATGCCCTTTCGGATGGATCGAACATTGTTCAGAGGTGATGATTTTCTTCGGGTTGTAAACTTTCATGCTTTACTGAAACTGCCTTCTTAGGGGTATCAAATTTGCTCTCAATAGGATCAATGAGATGCGAAAGTCGGGATCCAAGGGAACTGTAAGTTGATCAAACTCTCTTTTTGTGCGAGATTTTTGAAGCAGTTTCGTGCACAAACCGCTGATTTGTAACCTTCTAGGATATCAATTTATGCCAGATCATTGCTCTCGTTGGACAGCAGAACATTGAGGTAAAAATCTCTTGCATAAGTCTGCTCCGAAAGTGAACATATCTTTTGAAAGAACTGTCGTATCCCATATGGGTTTAAGAGACGAACCTTGCCTCATTTCCGCAAAGATGATCCTGGTGACATGATCTGCAATCACTTTGGGAATTTCGTAAAGATTTTTCTTCTTCCAGGTGCTGAGAGCAGAGGTTTCGTTGAAAATTCGTACACACAAGGTATGAATAATTGAAAATGGAGAAATTAGAGTGTATTTACGTGCATTACAGGATTAACTCCACAAGAACTCTACTTTCATGCTATGGGTGGCAGGTATCCTAGATAGACTTAATTGCCTGATGGTGCATGCGTGCGTTGACGAATCCTTTTAGAGAAGGTTTGATTGATACAGCTGTGAAGACGTCGGAGACAGGATACATTCAGAGACGGTGAAATCGCTCCGTTCATTTCGCACACTTATGAGAGATACAAGGTTGATCAAGGCATTGGAGGATGTCGTGGTCAGATATGATGGAACTGTACGAAATTCGCTTGGCAGGTGAAACAGATTTTCTTTGCCATTGAGACGTTGACTGTATTCATTTTTTAGCGTGATTCAATTTGCTTATGGCGAAGATGGATTGGATGCAACGTTTCTGCTTTCACAGGTGTTGTTCTCTCTGTAACAGTTTTTTTCACCAAGTATGACGCATTTACCCAGAAACCACCAACTCTCGAGATGCGAAAGGCACAGTTGCGCGACAATTATTTCATCGATTTAGACAAACCAGAATCTGTGAGAAAGCATATACATTCTGTGCTGTCCTTTCCTGACTCGTTGACTAGATCAAGAATTATGTTCACTCCGATATTCGTTCACAAATCGCCGGAGACCTGGAGGTGTGATGGCTGTACAACAATCATTTCTTTGGAAGCTCATTTCCATGGAAGGTCCGAGATCGCTTAAAGAAAGAGTACGAGCAGATTGAAACGGATCAAGAGGTATGTCATTGGAGGCTTGGAGTTGCTGTAACGCGAGTCTTGACACTTGTATTCAAGGAGTTGCGCTCGAAGATTTTTGCAGATTCCTCTTTGGAAGGGGTAGGCATTTCTTTCCTGGTTGTCTGTTGTTACCTAAAACCTCTTGCTTTATTTAAGGCTCATCTTCCTTGCAATTTTGATTGGCTCGTCAAACAAGCACAGGTCTATGTTTGTCATGTGCAACCTATTCAATACTGATGCATTTGTCTTTAGAGAGAGTTCAAGCTCAATCCATACACCACTTTAAGTGACTTGCATCCAAATTATATCATGGACCAAGTATTTGAGCAGGAATTCACTTTCGTATTTTGAGAAGTGCGTAGGTCCGAGACCTTTCAGAACGACTGAAGGTGGCGCTTTTCCCTGGAGAGGACAACATTTCCATTGAGGTCTGTTAGCATTGAGTGCAGGTTTTGAGGTTTAATTTTGCAATTGCAGGCCAGAAACAATGCAACACACCTGTTCAATATTATTCTTCGTAGCCAGTTTGCTGTGAAGAAAGTCATGGCCGGGGTGAGTTCTAGCCATTCACCCCCATTAGTTCAGTAATTCATGGAAAATTAGCATCGGCTGAACAAGAAAGCTTTTGACTGGATCCTTGGTCAGTATTTTCTTTCAGAAAAATATCGAAACTGATTTAGTTCAACAGGTGAAGTAGAGTCGAAATTCAGGTTTGATCTGGTAGAACCGAGTGTCCATTTCATGAAGTTCTCTACAGACGTGCTATCGTCAATCCTGGAGAATCTGTCGGGTGCATCGCCTCTCAGGTTTTGTCTACTTTGGAGATGTGAACGATTACTTAGTCAAAACAGTCATTGGGAGAGCCCGTCACACAGATGACTTTGAATACCTTCCATTTTGCTGGTAAACATCTTTGTCTATGTTTCACGTTAGCCAATAGTGCTATACAGGTGTGTCGGCCAAGAAAGGTACGAAGGGAGTGCCTCGCATGAAAGAGTTGATCAACATAGCGAAGAACATCAAAGCTCCAGGTTTGAATCTGAACGATTCTGAATTACATATCTTAACCAATGCGATTGAACAGGGATTTCGATCTATCTGAAGGAAGGGCATTTTGAAGATGAACATAAGGCGAAGGCCATTTCGAACAAGATTGGTATCTAGAGCTCTTCGCTGGATAATAGTCTGACGTGAGTGTCCAGAATATTTGAATCTCAGGCTGTTGGTCAAACATGCAGAAATTCATTATGAACCAAATCCATTGCTTACCAGGGTTCCAGAAGACCAAGCCATTGTTGAGGTTATTATTGTTGATGCAATGGAAGTGAACCCTTTGACTAAGATTTCCGCAGGCTCACTATGAGTTGGCTGATGAGCCTCCAAAAAATATGTCTCCTTGGGTTCTTCGCTTCGTTCTTGACAATCCTACCCTCGATGGAAAGGATATGTATCTCAGGTGAAGGCATCTTGTCTTGCTAAAGAAATGCATTGTTCTTTACTTTGGATTGCAGCGAAGTAGTCGCTAAGATCAAGGAGACCTATCACACTGGGCGGGATGAGTTTGAAATCATCGCATCAGATGATAACGCCGATTTGCTTGTGATCCGCCTGAGGCTTTTGACGAGATCTGATAAGTATGTTTTAGCTTTTGGTCATGTAATGTGTCGCTGACTGTGATTTAAGCTATGATGAAGACGAAGATGAAGCCGACGATGAGACTGAAGATCACTTTCTTCGTATTTGAATTCTTTTTTGGATATTCGCAATTTTAACTCTGTGTAGGAAAAATTGCCATGGATATGCTTGATACCATCACTCTTCGTGGAATCCCTGACATTCCACGTGTGCTCATCGAGCAAGACAAGGTGGACCTTTTCCTGGAGGTGACAGCACAGATATTGATGCCTTCAAACAGCTTTACCATAAGCTGTTTTCTCCTGACGATCCCAAGTACGAAAAGTATAACAAAGCGGTGAGCTTTTGTTGTATTTGATTGAATTTTTTTTCTGATCGTATGTTACAGGTGCCATCTTATCTTTATGCGGAGGGCAACAACTTGTTGCGCGTACTCAGTTTTGCTGAAGTGGATCAGGTAGAATAGGATTACAGTATGATTCGATTCTCTATCTCATTTTTGACACAGGTCCGCACAGTATCAAACGACATCACAGAAATCCTGCAGGTGTCTCGCTTGCTGTAAGCCAAAATTTGGTTTTAAATAGAACAGGTGCTGGGCATCGAGGCAGTGCGTTGCGCTCTCTTGAAAGAGATCCGCGAGGTGTTTGTTTCGGACCGCCTCTGAGGTTCTCTCATACATCTCAACAGGTGATGAGGGCTTCATCGTACGTGAACTATCGACACATTGCTTGCCTCGTCGATGTGATGACGCACCGGTGAGACACAATACAGTGCGACGAGGGTGTATCCGCTTATCGTCCATTAGTGGAATTTTGATGTCCATCACTCGTCATGGAATCAATCGTCTGGAAACGGTGAAGATTTATTTTCTTTTCATTTTGTCAAACATGTCCAGGGTCCACTCATGAGATGTACCTTCGAGGAGACTGTAGAAATTCTTCTGGAAGCTGCTGCATTCTCTATGCCAGGTCTGAACCTTGGATCTTGTATTTGTACTCAATGGATCCCTTTCAGATCGCTGCTTGGGAGTAGCCGAAAACGTGATCTTGGGCAATCTTTGCCCGTTGGGCACTGGCAGGTTGTTCTTTGGACCCTCTCAATTCACGCCCATGACTTCAAAGTAGCTTTGAGCTGTTTTTGAACACGGAGTCCTGCCTGGAAGCAGTTCCTGTGACGCATGACGACGGTAAGAGTTTTCTCGGAAACAGAATTCCCTAACCCCTGCCCGTCACAGGAGCGGAGCCTATGATGTTTGCCGATGTTGGACAGGATGAGTTAAGGTTGGTGCATGGCCTACAAGCTTGGACACCTGTGATGTAATGAATGCTACGCAGCGCGACACCAGTTCACCTACAGTCTCCAACAGTTCTCAATCTGCCATGGTCTCCAGGAATGTCAGGTCCTCGCTCGAGCACATTCATGAAGGCTGTTGATGTTCTCATGTTGTTTTATTGCACCAGGCGATGTCACCTTTTCTCCTGTGGTACCTACAAGCCCACAGACTTACGGACATCAATCACCCGCTTATCAGGTGAGCGAGTGTAGTTGAATTCTCTCAAAGCTGAGATGTGAGATAGGGAAATGCTGGTCAAGGATATTCTCCTGCTTCCCCCTCTTACTCCCCCACCTCTCCCTCCTACTCTCCCACCTCCCCCTCCTACTCCCCCACCTCTCCCTCCTACTCCCCCACCTCCCCCTCCTACTCTCCCACCTCTCCCTCTTACTCTCCCACCTCTCCCTCCTACTCCCCTACCTCTCCCTCCTACTCTCCCACCTCTCCCTCTTACTCACCGACGTCGCCGTCGTACTCTCCTACCTCGCCCTCCTACTCTCCCACCTCTCCCTCCTACTCCCCTACCTCTTCCTCCTACTCGCCGACGTCGCCGTCGTACTCGCCGACGTCGCCCTCGTACTCTCCGACGTCGCCATCGTACTCTCCGACGTCGCCATCGTACTCGCCGACGTCTCCGTCGTACTCGCCGACGTCGCCGTCGTACTCGCCGACGTCGCCGTCGTACTCGCCGACGTCGCCGTCGTACTCGCCGACGTCGCCGTCGTACTCGCCTACGTCGCCGTCGTACTCTCCGACGTCACCGTCGTACTCGCCTACGTCGCCGTCTTACTCGCCTACGTCTCCGTCGTACTCGCCGACGTCGCCATCGTACTCGCCTACGTCTCCGTCGTACTCGCCGACGTCGCCGAAGCAGGAGAAGTGAAGTCATGGATGAAGATACAGAAAAACAATGGATTGCTAAGGTGAATTATGCATCAGTCATGCAACATCAATCGTTTATGCCAAGATGTGTAAATGCTGAAAATTGCGCCGTTCGTGACTTTTTAAATGAGCTTAATACACAAGACGTGGAGTTTAGTAGATTCCGCCGCCGATATTGAAAAGCCAGGGTTCCACCTGCATAGGACGGTCACATGGTCAACCACCCAATCACGAGCACTCACGGAGCTAGGATCGACGTCATAGGGAGTCTTCCACCTGCCGTCCACGTCAGCCCAGCCACGTCCGAGCCAGACGTCTCTTTACTTGTGAGGGCCATCGGCTCCCTCGGAAAGAGGCTCGTAACCGATCAAAGCGTTGCCTGGCAGCAACATTTTCAGCAGGAGATAAGAAGCTTTCGACGCTTTACAGTAGACATCCGAGCCCGAGCACTCCTCCAGCATAAAGGGCTGACCGTTCTACCAAGGCGCAACGTGAGGAGTCTGCATAGCATGGCAGCTTGCGAGGATACCATGAAGATGATGTGTCCGGCGAGGCTGGGAGGACCAGAGGTCAGGACCTGAGGCCTGGGAGGATCGATCACTTCACATCATCCACTCCCGAATAAAGATAACCTTCCGCCCATGAGCATCGCAGATGATCCAAGAGAATACAAGGGCAACATGCTGAGGAACAACATGTCACCTCACAGCCAGACGAGCATTGAATTAGTTTCGCGAATTAGTTTCGCGATGTCCGTCCAGACAAAGTAGCATTGCAAGCATACGTTGTAGCAATATGGATAATGTAATCATAGTCCCAGGCATAAGAACGGGAGGAATACGGCTGCGTATGGAGGGGAAGAGAACAACACAAGGAAGATTGAGCAAACGTGGGAAAACATTGCAAGCAAGCAAGTCAGTGAGTCAGTGAGAGAGAAGAAAATCAAAAGCAATCTTGGGAGTTATGGTGGCAAGAAATATCAATCAAAATGTTAGATTCGAGTGGAGACCATAGACGAGGAGAAAGGCGATATAAGTAACGAGACATGAACAGATGAGATGAGATGAGATGGGATGAGATGAGATGAGATGAGATGATAAGAGAGGAGAGGAGAGGAGATGAGATGAGATGAGATGAGATGAGATGAGGTTGGATTGAAGTCGACCGAGGAGGGGAGCTAAGCACATTTTCGGGAGAGCTGCGAAAGAGATGAGAGGGAAGCTGCGAAAGAGCTGAGAAAGAGGAAATAGCAACAGGAAAGATTGAATAGGAAAGGATAGCATAGCGGAGGAGATGAGGCAGTTGAAAGGATACCAGCGAAGAACAAAGCGGATCAAGCACAAGCAAGTAGGGAACATCAGAGAAGAAAAAGGATCGGAGGAAAGAGACAAGCTCGAGCATTGATCTTTCATGCCGCTAGCATCTGATACTGGTCAGGTGATCATTTCTGCATTTTCGTGCACACCCCGACAGGGTGGGGTTAATCTGGGTAGTGGTAGGGGGTAGTGTGAGAAAGAATGATATGACTTTGAAAGGGTCATCATCAGAGTAAATGAGGGTAGGGGTGGTCAAGATTAAATAGTCAGGTAGGGTAGTCAAATAGAGCAGGTGAGGGTGGGGGTAATGAGTGAAAGGACAGGGTTGACCCTTGAAATGTATAACAAGTATAAGCTGGTATAAACAATGTATAATTAGAGGTGTAAGATATAGTCCGGACAAATATATACACTTTTGTAGTTTTTTGAGAG